CTTCTATCCGCCTCCCACTCTCTCCCTATTTATTTCAAAACCCCCTTCCCCTCCCCCTTTTCTGATGAAGGGTCTAGGCCCGAAACGTCAGCCTCTCTGCTCCTATGATGCTGCTTGGCCTGCTGTGTTCATCCAGCCCTGCACCTTGTTGTCTCCTGATTTCTACATATTGGCGGGATTTTCAAATTTGTAAGAAAGCGTTAAACGATTTGGCGCCATTTTCCCCATCCTCCTTCTCAGCCATGGTCAGTTATGAGAAAAAAAAGCAGATGCTGGAATCCAAGGTAAACAAACAGGAGGCTGAAAGTAGAGCTGGAGGAAAGGCCAAGGGAAGCAAAAAGCAGAGGTTTTGTCGTGAATTTCTAATTTGCATACAGAGATGCCGTACTTCAATTATTTTGTGACTAATTTAAACCTCAATTTATAATGAAAATACGCTTCTTGAGTTTTAATTTAAATAAGACAAATGTATCGGTCCTACGCACTTGTGTGTTTTTTCAGCCAGATGCAGTTCCTGCAATTACAGCTGAATTGGCCCGGTGCAATAATGATAAGATATGGTTATATAACAACGAAACGCACATCATGCGTCAGTTCGGCTCTTTTTGGATAGTTCAGTGGCTCTGAATAGAGCCGTTGGGTTTCTCGGGGTTAACGTGCAGGGCCAGGTACGCTCCGTTTAAGCGCGCTCCCCGCGGATCCGGCGGGCCAGCTGGATGTCTTTTGGCATGATAGTGACTCGCTTGGCGTGGATAGCACACAGGTTGGTATCCTCAAACAGCCCCACCAAGTAAGCCTCGCTGGCCTCCTGCAATGCCATCACGGCCGAGCTCTGGAACCGCAGGTCGGTCTTGAAGTCCTGAGCGATCTCCCGCACCAGGCGCTGGAAGGGCAGTTTGCGGATCAGCAGTTCGGTGGATTTCTGGTAGCGGCGGATCTCCCGCAGAGCTACCGTGCCGGGCCTGTACCGATGAGGCTTTTTCACTCCGCCCGTGGCAGGAGCGCTCTTGCGGGCCGCTTTGGTCGCCAGCTGCTTGCGGGGAGCTTTCCCTCCGGTGGATTTGCGCGCAGTCTGCTTGGTTCTGGCCATTCCCTGCAACACACTTGCAGGCTGCTGCTATTAATGCTGAGCCTGCGCCAGTGCTGCCTATTTAAGGGAATTGAAGAGACCGGCTTAGAGCTGGGATTGGATACAGTCCCGTCCCTCAACCCACTGAGAAACAGCTGCGGAAGGTACAGAAAAGGCAATAAAATAGTTGTTGGAGTCTGATTGGTTAACTGGAAATGACAGTGTCAATTTCAAAAAGCCCGCCGATTTTACCCTCGCAATCCTGAAATTAAGTTAAGTATTTAAATGCAAAATAAAGTCCAACGACGATAAAATGTGTGCTTTGTGGGATTTCTTTTTAAACCTAACTTGCAGTTAACGCGGACAGGACGCGGGATCATTGCCTGATCTGCCCGTAACAGGTAGGAGGAAAGCGCGGGGTTTTAACACAGCCCAGACTTCTGAAGAAGGGTCTCGGCCCGAAACGTCAGCCTTCCTGCTCCTCTGATGCTGCTTGGCCTGCTGTGTTCATTCAGCTCCACACCTTGTTATCTCAAACTCATCAACCGGCCGTGTCACCTCCGTCAATGAATCTAAATAACACCGCCGATTTAAGCATCTTCAAAGCTAACAGTGCACGCGAAAAAAAGTTACACAATCTCAATTTATCGGCTCATTTTTCTTTCACCCAGTTAGAATTAGTCCGAAAACTGTACCAGACAGAGTGTAACAATAGGCCATTAAAACATCTGCAGGCTTCCCTGAATGAAAACTGAACTGAATATCATTCCTGGAAGGAATGAAATAGAAATACTGCAATCTGTAACATTTCGCATCAGGACAGAATTACAATTCGAGATATGGAATAACCAGCTGCGGTGCACTACACCCTCTCTGTGTGCTGCCTTTCCTGTGCTCAGGTCTCCGCTCTCACTTGGAGGGTTTGGGTGGCTCTGAAAAGAGCCTTTTGGTTCGCTGGAAAAGGGTCGATTTGCTCAGCCGCCGAACCCATAGAGAGTGCGGCCCTGGCGTTTCAGAGCGTACACCACATCCATGGCAGTGACCGTCTTGCGCTTGGCGTGCTCAGTGTAAGTGACCGCATCCCTGATCACATTCTCAAGGAAAACCTTCAGCACCCCGCGGGTCTCCTCGTAGATCAAGCCCGAGATGCGCTTGACCCCACCACGGCGAGCCAGGCGCCGGATGGCTGGTTTTGTGATGCCCTGGATGTTATCACGGAGCACTTTGCGGTGCCGCTTCGCTCCGCCTTTTCCCAGGCCTTTGCCTCCTTTCCCTCTTCCAGTCATCACGCTTCTTCACTCCAATCGCTGCCGAATGCGATTCGCGCTGCCTCACCTTCCTTTTTTATACAGCCCGCCCCGGCCTGACTGAGAAACAGCTGACACAGAGTGAGAGGCGGCCCGGGCAGGAAACTGAGTGACAGACAGAGAAATGTCCAGCTCCGCCTCCAGCTAACTCCAGCCCCCAAATGAATCTGGAACTCAACCTTTTCTCCACAAGGGCTGTGAACATAAGGCCCGGCAAAAAACACATGCAGACTCAAGCTTCATGTTCAAAGATAATAAAACCTGGAACTTTTAAAAGCAGTTGCGACACAATTAAACGGCCATGTCCCGGCCTTTCTTAACAAGACAACACACGGTTGCTTCCAATTCAATGTCAGTTTCTATTCCTTTAGCTGAATGGGAGAAAATCATTTCTTGGGGATTGTGTTGCGAAGCGGGATTTCTGGCCCAGTGTTCCTCTCAGAGACTCTCCCTGAATATGTGAAAAGCAGACGGACATGAAATGAAACTGCACCCGAACCTATGGGCAGTATGATGTGGGCCTAATACTGATTTATTGTAGAATGTGGGAGAGAGACTGGGTGTAAATCTGGCAGAGAAATGTGGACGAGTCACTCACATTAATTAATATATAATTTATCCCTGCACTCGGAGATGGGACAGGGATCATTTGATCCGGGCTCAGCTCTTTCCTGAGAGATGTGGGTGGCTCTGAGAAGAGCCTTTGTGTTCAGGTGGTTACATGTTGCACAGACTGCTTCATTTCTTTGCTGCTTTCTTGGTCACTTTCGTTTTGGGCTTGGCCTTCGGTTTCCCCGATTTCGGGACCGGTTTTGCGGCCTTGGGGCTCTTGGTCTTTTTCACCTTCTTCACGGGAGTCTTTTTCTTAGGCGCTGCTTTCTTCACCGTTTTCTTCGGCGTTGCTGCCTTCTGGCCGGCCGCTTTCTTGCCTGTTGCTTTCTTGGCTGGGGATTTCTTCGCTGTCACCTTCTTGGCCGTTGTTTTCTTCACGGCTGGTTTCTTGGCGGATGCTGCTGGTTTCGCCTTCTTTCCCACTTTTGTCTTGACTGGATTCCGAGGGAGTTTGAAGGAGCCGGAGACGCCCTGGCCCTTGACCAGAACCAGGGAGCCTTTCGCCAGACACCTCTTGATCGCCATCCTGATCTGTGCATTTTGCTTCTCCACATTGACCCCGCTTCTTTGCAGCGCCTTCTTTATAGCGGCCAGAGACGTCCCCTTCCGATCGCGGCTCTCCCCGACAATCTTCACAATCCGCTCGGCCAACCCGGGACCGGCTGGTTTTTTCCTGGGAGACGCCGCCTTCTTCTTCATGGGAATCTTGGGTTTGGTGCTGGCGGAGGTTGGAGGAGCCGTTTCGGCGGCTGCACTGTCGCTCATGTCGAGAACTCTGCGCTGAATCTCTCCCTGTCAGACTGAACTGGGTCACGAATGAAGCTGCTGGTGGCGGCACTGAGCAACTTAAAGGCAGCGAGCGGACGGCGCAGAGACAACCTGCCCTCAGCTCCCTTCTCCTGCTGCCTCTCTGTGTTTCTCTCTCGGCAGAAACTCTCCAATTCCTCTGCAATTCCACATCTCCAGATACCCAGGCTCGATCGTTCCTGACCCTGACACGGGCAGGTTTGCGGTCAAAATGTTTTCGCTCGAATTGACGGCACCGTTGTCGAGTTAAAAGCATTTTTCTGCTGCACTGATCGCGCTCTCTGAGTTGAGCGCTGACATTGTCGTCACTTTTGGACTGAAATCTTAAAATCAACAAATACACTGCCTTGAATTCTACCTTTGGGGTTTAGTGGGGGAGCAGGGGGATAACTTGAATTGAAAATATTTTTGATTTGCAAAGAGAGATTCAGGAATATCATGATATGAGCGTACACACAAACACAGTTACGTTAGACTCACCCGCCCGCCCTTTTCCGACAGTCTCTCTGACTCAATATTCACATCCACACAGTCACAGGCCAGAAATATCGCCAAATGTAAGCCTTTGTTCCGATATCCAGGGAGTTAGTTGTAGTTTCTCTCCTCAGTAACTGTTAAACTCTCTGAGGCCTGTGCGCCGGAGATTCGCTCTTCTCCAGATTCAGCTATAACAGCCAATCATCTGGTTTGAAGTTTGCTCACCCAGATCAGTATTTTTCATTCCGGGGACAATACTCAACATCGGTTCTGGGAATAAACAGCCATAGAAACATAAATAATAGCACCTGGACCTAACCAATGGGCCCTTCAAACCTCTCCTCCCACTCATCATGAAAATGGCAGATCATCCAACTCAATAGCCTGCGTCAGTTTTTCTCTCATTTAGAGTCATTCAGCAAGGATGCAGAACCTTCGGTCCAACCATTACATGCCGAATATAATGCCAACCTAAACGAGCTCCACCTACCTGTCCCTGGCCTATTTTCTTTCTTATTTATGTACTTATCCAAATGTCGTTTTAATGTTATAATTGTAGCCATAGAGACGATTTCGTCAGGAACTTCATTCCTCTTGCGTCCATGCTCTATGTAAAAAAAAAACCTCTCGTGTCTTTGTTTTAAAATCTCTCTCCTGTCACATTAAAAATGTCCACCCTGGTCTTCACTTCCATTCCCCCCTCCCCCCCACCCCCCATCCCATCTCAGGCAAAGGACAACGACCATCAACTCTGTCTCACCCCCCTCATTATTTTATAAACTTCTATAAGATGACCCCTCAACATTCTATGCTCCAGTGAAAAACGTCCCAACCTATCCATCCTTTCTTTGTAACTCAAACCTCACACACATGGCAAATTACTGGTGAATCTCTTCTGAACCCTCTCCAGCTTAATAATATCTTTCCTCTAAATGTCCAACAAGAACTGGTCACAGTATTCCAGACGTGGCCTCACCAAAGACCCTTAGAACCTCAATGTGACTTCTCACCTCATAAACTCAAAGGACTGTGCAATGAAGGCAAGCATGCCTTCTTTACCAGCCTGTTTGGATGTGATGCAGACTTCAACAGGTCTTCAACAGGACAGGTCCCTCTGTCCGACAACACTACCAAGTCCCTCCCATTAATCGTACAAGGCCTACCTTTGTATGTTGCTCCAAAATGGAAAACGTTGCATTCATCCAGATTGAATTCTATCTGTCATTTTGCAGCCCATCGAGGTATTTGTTCAAGATCCATTTGTAATCTTAGGAAACTTTCTCTACTTACTACTATGCTACTAACTTTGCTATCAACCACAAACTTGTTCACCATGCCTTCGAATTCTCATTCAAATCATTTATATAATGACAAGCAAAAGAGGACCCAATACCAATCCCTCTGGAACACCACAGGTTGACAGGCCTACGGTCCAAAAAGCAACCCTCCATCTTCACTCTCTGGCTCTTGCCATTAAGCCAATTATACCTTGATTCCAAGATAGTAGGCACTGCAGATGCTGGAGAATCTGAGATAACAAGGTGTTGAGCTGGATGAACACAGCAGGCCAAGCAGCATCAGGGGAGCAGGAAGGCTAACGTTTTGGGCCTTTGGCCACAAGTGCTACACCAACACCATATTGAAATCATACAATGCATTGAACGTGGCTGATTTC